TTTAGAAAATTATGTAATGTCTTTTCGATAACAAATTTATAAAGTAAAGCAGATTGTAAAAGTTGTGCATATACTGTAATTAGTTTTATGACAAAGAGATTTTGAAAATTACATAACTGCTAACGCTCCATCTTATTGATAATGTGAGCAATACTCAATGATGTAATCGTTGTTGTAAGCTCTTGAAAGATGAATGATTAAATAATTTTTATTGTTTATTATGTAAATTTTGAAAAAATTGAAAAAATTAAAAAAAATTGAAAAAATGACTTTGCCAATTGGTATGCTCTCCGAAGAGGCAATAGAAGCCTGACTTTAAAAAATTTTGACAAAGTTTTACACGTAAGTGCTCCCGTTTGAAGACGAATGAAGACTTGATGTGAAGACTTCTCTGCACATCTGATCCAATTATTAGTTCATTACGCACCATTTCAACATCGTACAAACAGAAAATTTTGCCGGATGGAGTAGTACAGCTCTTAAAACCAAGTGATTCTGAAGTTTTGGATATTTAATAATGAAATTCGCAAGTGTGTGCAACTTATTTTTATTAACATTTTTGTAGAATGGTTAACAGGGTGTGCCAGTGAAAATTAAAACATTTACTAAAATTTTTGTAAATATTTTAATAAAAATTATTTGAGACATGAAAAAATTATAAAGTTATGAAGCTGAGATTATAAAGTTATGAAGCTGATATTATAAAGTTATGAAGCTGAGATTATAAAGCTATGAAGCTGAGATTATAAAGCTATGAAGCAGAGAATATTTGATAATGATGATAAAAATGATTATAAGTTACAGTTTTACAAGTTTTTATTTTCTCGTTTTAAAAATGTTTTAAGTTTTACTGGCACACATGTATATATGCTATTTTAATAGGAATTCATTTCTAATTACTAATATGGTGTTAAAAATTTGTTAGATCCCATTACACTTTATTGATTAGACAAGTATGAATTTTTGGATATATCTTCTTATTACCTATTTTGGGCTAACCAACTTTAGTCGGGGTATGCTCTAATGCAATAGTAAGATACTTCAATCTGGTATAAAAAAAACTACTTAATAATAGTAGCTGTAACCACACTTTTAAAATATCGTTATTAATTTTCTTTTTATAAAATAAACCACATACTTTTGTAGGTACATTATATTCATGTAATTTTCAAACTTTTGTTAATTTTTGATAAAATATTCAAAATTTACATAACCGATTTGGTACAAATGCAACATTTGATAATAGTAGCTTTAACTTTTTGAATTTTATTATTAACCTTTCATTTTTACAAAAGAGCCTCATACTTCAGCACACCCTGTACACGTGATCTTAAGATTTTTGATAATTTTTGATAAGATATTCGAAATTTGCATTGTCAATTTAGTGGATAGAATTTTTTAAAAAGTTTGTATCTTTTTTTCTCTTTGTAGTTTTTTGATCACTTTTTCATGTTTCTGGCCCACTGTGCAATAGTAAAAATGATGACAATAAAAATAAAGATGATGAAAATGAATTTGGAATGGCAATACAATAGCAGGTGAATGTTACAATGTAATATACTATAACTGTATCTAAAATATAATACTGACATAGTTAAATAACAATAACAAAGAACTCAATATATATATATATATATATATATATATATATATATATATATATATATATATATATATATATATATATATATATATACATATATATATATATATATATATATATATATATATATATATATATATATATATATATATATATATATATATATATATATATATATATTTGTATCAGTGAATTCATTAATACTTTTTAGTATTAGTAAATTTTTTCTATTATCAGTGCATTTTTTTATTCAGGTACATTTTATTATGAGTTAGCTGCGTATAAGAGAAACAGTTGGGTGGTTGTGGAACATAATAGCATAGTGTACCCTGGAATCCTTACAACAGTAAACATTTTTATTTGGTGCCTTTAGAAATACAACCTTAAACATTGTTTTATTCAAGTGTAGTTATTCAATTTAATAATTTATGAATATTCAATTAGTTATTCAATTTAATAATATGAGAATGGCATGTTTCATTTATGGAATACGTAGCAGCATGTGACAAAAACAAATGGCCAATAACAGAACAAATTCTTAACTACAATGAAGATAAAATTTTATGTCAAATTGCACCACTTATTGCAATCATCCCAAGATCATATTTTACTGTATCTGTAACGTTATCTTGAATAGCATACATAAGTTAAGATCACACATAAATTTTTTTATATATATGTCTAAATGTTTATGAACATATTTTCAGTTAATATATTTTTAAAATCTTTTAGCTTCAGTTTTTAATGCATCCTAAAGTTGGAACAGTTTTTGTTCTAAAACATGTTTTTTATGTCTAATTTTTTAAGATGCAAATACAACCACGCACAATTTTATATTTTAATGGAAGATTAGACTCACAGCTACTATATGGTGTAAAAAAGATTATTAACTAGAATAAAAATAATTTGAAAATAAAATTTCCTTACATGACATATACCTCTTAAATTAGATGTTCATTGCTAAATGAAGATATAAACGTCGTTATTCATTTAAAAAAAAAAACATGTCACTCCCTGGGCTTGTAACAAGTATAAAACCAAAATTTATAATTAATAAGCAGTTGAAGCCAACATAGCCATGCTATGTTGGCTTCAATAGTTAGGGCTTCCTAAAGTTCATACTTTTTTTAAATTATTGTACTTTTAGATCATTTCTAGACAGTGAATAACTTTTTATTTTTTATTTTTCTAGTAGAACTTGTTGCTGGCTGTTATAAATAAGTTGACAAAACATTTTAAAACAAATAATATTCCAGTTATAGCTTCTTAAAGTATGACAGATCATATTTTAAAAAACCAGAAAATTGTTAGGGTAAAATATCCGGAAAAAATCTGGATATTTTCCTCTTAGATTTTCTTTTAGCTGAGTTGTTTCAAATTTTTATTATTTTTGTATGAGTGATGAGTAAAAATGCCTAAAAAACAAATATACTGCAAATATATTGCAATATATATATATAAATATATTGCAAATATATTGCAAATATATTGCGATACCCAAACTTGTATGTATGAAAAACGTTTTGAATATCGGGAAAAACTATAAGTTAAGAAAAATATCCAGAATTCCGGAAATATCCGGAAAAATATAATCCATGAGTGCAAAATAAGAAAATTGACTTAAATTTGTCTGATTTTCAAAATACTGCCATCGCTGAACGACAAATATTTAGACCAAAATATTTTGTATTTATCATTGCATATATTATACAAAGCAAATATATAAAAAAGAGTGGAATTGGTGACATTCAGTATTTTTTTTCTTCAGGTTATTAGAGACAATAACTCTTAAGACATAAGTATATTGCAATATCAAAACTACATTTATAATTTTATATTGAACTTGAGAGACATTTTTTATATTTATTTCACTTGAGTCAAGATGGACTTAAGATTTACATTTCTTTTAAAAAAAACTTTTTTGGAAATAAAATATTTGAATTTTACTCATAGTGGCAAAAAATGAGTTTTGGTTCCATTCATCCAGTCAGAGGTTTTTTACCTAAGAAGTATTATAAGCAAAAATAGTCATTTTTGCAAAAAATAAACTTAAGATAATTTTGTTTTGCAGCAACGATATAAGTAAAACTTACAGCACAATAATAGTAAAGCCTTCTACTTATTAATAGTAAAACCTTTTACATTAAAGCAATATAGCCTTCTATATAATAATAGTATAACCTTCTATATAATAATACAGCTTTCTAAATAACAATATAACTTTTCATATCATAAAACAACCGCCTTCTATATAATAATAGTAAATCCTTCTATATAATAAGTAAGACTTACTGCACAATAATAATAAAACCTTTTTTAAAACAATAGCAAAGTCTTCCATTTAGAAAAAGTAAAGCCTTCTATATAACAATGGTACACTTTTCTATATAATAAAAGTAAAGCCTTCTACATAATAATGGTACATTTTTCTATATAATAAAAGTAAAGACTTCTACATAATAATGGTACATTTTTCTATATAATAAAAGTAAAGTCTTCTACATAATAATGGTACATTTTTCTACACAATAAATGTGAAACCAATAAATTATAGTATAGCCTATATAGTATAAATATAGGATTTCAAACAGCCTACAACAACTGATAGAACTGAATTATTAACAATAAAGGTTTTAACAAATGATTTCATAGAGAAAAAAGATCAATGAAATTACTTCTCATTTATCATAAAATCCCAACCAAGCCATCTAAAGTATTTCTAAATGACAATTAGTCTTGGCAGAGAATTATACCTTTGTAGTAGAAGACAAGATACAGTGTTACCATTGAAACAAAAAGTGTTTCCTTTGTTTATTTGTCATCTGTTACATGAAAGAGAAATAAGAGTCTTCTTTTTGCATAGTTTCAGATGATTTGAACTTATTACCTTTAAGCGAAAGTGCAATCATGGTTTTCAGAACAGAAAATATGTATTGACTATTTTAAACTCAAAAAATCGACCATCAAAAATTATAAATTGGGTTATCTCTATTATTTTGGATTCAGCACCCTCAAAAATGGTCAGGTACCAATTTTTTTCCATATTCTTATACAATAACTTAAATTATTCACACAAAAAAAAAATTGAAAAAAGAAGGACCACTAAAAAATTCAAATTGGAGAACTTAAGCTAAAATTTAATATAGCCTTCTATATAATAATAGAATAATCTTCTATATAATAATAACACTATCTTCTATATAATATAATACATCCTTTTATATAATATAGTATAGCCCTCAATATTTTAATACTAAAGCATTCTATATAGCAATATTAAAGCTATTTATATAATAATAAAACCAACAATTTCATATATGATAACTACAGTTTATTAAGAAAAAAATTATTTCCTCAAATGTAAAGCTAAAAAGTTTTACAATTAAAATAAAAATACCTTATTAGATAAAAATTTTGATATCCGATTTTGAATGATAGTTTTCTTCAACAGTGTATTAACAGAAGGACGTTCACTTCAAAAAAATTTTGAATGTTTAGAAAAATATCTATTAATAATTCAGGTTATTTAAATCAACTTAGGTAATATAAATTAATTTAGGTAATTTAAATTAATTTAAGTAAGCAAATAATAATGCAACATTTAATAACTATGACATATATATCATATAATACAATAATATATTTATTCAAGCTAAAAATTGTACTAATTAAGTAATTAACAGTAATAAAAAATAAGATATCCTATTTTCATCTGAGTTTTCTAAATTACCTATAATTTCAAATATAAAATCATCAAATTTAACTACTTTCAAAAAAAAGAATATACTTATTTTAAAAAAAAAGATATTTAAAAAAAAATTATTGAAAAAAAAAAGATATTTATAAAAAATATATATTTCTTTAAACAAAAAAATTGTTTAAGTGAAAATTAAAAAGTTTAAAAGTAAGTTTATTCTTTCATAAGAAAAAAACTGCAAACTACATGCTGCATTTGCACTGAGACAGGATGACCAGCCATTTTATATAATCAAAGTCACTGACAGTTTAACATTGATTTTAATATAAAACTGAATGGAATCTCTTAAACATTGTATCTTCTGACATTAACTTTTACTTCTTTCTGGTGACACTAGTGTGTAATTTATTTTATAAGCTTTTTAATTTGCCCAATACATCTTTTCTAATAATACATTTTGCATGAGACACCTCATTAGCTTCACGTTACAAAACAAATTACAACAGTACATTAAAATTCGGGCAAGTAAAAATCTTGTTCAAAAAATTTTTTCTTGTAAACAAAAAAAAAACTAGTGTATACAGGCCTTGGCAGGTAGAAATGAGTGCGAGAGCCGCAAAAAGCTCTCCTAAAATGAACATAGCAAGCTATGCAAGCTGCCCCTCTAAACAGCTTCTTAGGTGAGCTTTTGGTTTTTGCAAGAGTTATATGTTTATTCATTAAAAAAAATGCTTATTAACTATATTAATTTTGGTTTTATACTTGTTACAAGCCCAGGAAGCAATAATTTTTTTTTTTTAAATGAACATTAACATTTGTATCTTCATTTAACGATGAACATCTAATTTAAGAGATGTCATACAAGGAAGTTTTATTTTTAAATTATTTTTATTCTAGTTAATAAGTTATTAGATATATCAAAGATGCTTATTGAATTTAATCAATTTTTATTTCTACAAAACAATTTTTTACGCATTTGTAAAAATTTTCACTCATTTGTAAAATTTTGTAAAGCACGTGAAAACTAATGATAATTATCATGCAATAACCTAATGATTGTAATTTGTTATCCATTGATACTAAATAATAAATTTTTATCAATTTAGTTAATTTAATAAATTTAAAAAATTTACTAAATTTTATTTCAAACAAAAAAAATTGTACAAACTTGAAAAAATTAAAATAATAGGAACATTTTAGTATTGTATTTTTATCATAAACATGTGTTTTTTATAATAAATAAAAAACTATCAATTCCATAATTATTTGGAAAAAAAATTGCTGAAGTAATGGTGTGTTTTTAAAAAGTTTAAGCGAACCCCAACGCTTACATATGAAAAAATATAGAAACATGACGTTCATTTTTCTGTCTTTTTTTAACAAAAGTTAGCACTTTTGTAGATTTGTCGCACCTTGTCAAACATACACTTGTTACGCTAATATTACAAGAATATATACATAACAAGTGTCATTTGTTGCAGCATCGAAAAAGTTCTTTAGACGAGCGTTATTTTTACTGCTTATAAAAAAAGTTTTATATTTTCTTATTGTAATAGAATGCAGGCATTTTAAGAATTATTAAAAATAATTATCAAAATGACTGGGTTTATTATTTTAGTTACAATGATAATTATACTTTTGAAAGAAAAAATTATACTTTTGCAAAAACCATAAAGTGCTCTCGTAAACCGTTTTAGGGGAGTGTAGGCGAGAGCTAGAGCTAATGCTCTCGCTTCCTGTCGAGGCATGGTGTATATATTAAACAACTATATAAAATGCCAATTAATTAAAATTAAAAAAAAAATTATATTCAACATTTTATAAAATTAAAAAATATATAAAATGTTAATTAAATTAACACCCAAACTAATGGTTTTTACAATTCCCTAAATGCTTCCCTAATTAAAAACATAACATTTTTTTTTTTTTTAAACATCTTTGCTTCCAACAAGGCTGCGAGCAACCACTAATTAGTGTTGGAAGTTACTGGAAGAGAAAAGATGAAGATTGTAGAGCAAGATATCGATTGACAGACAATTTAAAAGATTGCAAATTATATGAATCAGGAAAGCAAGATGAAGGAAGCGAATTCCAAAGAACTGATGTTCGAAGAAAAAAACTAGACCAGTAAGAGTTTTTGGAGCACTTAGGAACAGTAACAGAAAAAGAATGAGACTAAATTGAATGACAAGTAACACGAGAATGAATTTTAGAAGATAGCACAAGAGATGCTAGCTCTTTAGAGCAGAGCCCATTATAGTATTTGTAGAAAAGAGAAAGAGAAGCAACATTACGACGATGTGACAGAGGTTGAAGGTTGGCTGCAAGGGCAGGTCCAACTATGTTTACAATGCGTTTTTGCACCTTGTCTAAAAGAGAAAGGGCATCATTAGAAGATCCGCCCCAGATATGGCAACAGTATTCCATACAAGGCTGGATTTGAGATTTATAGAGATAGAGTATAGAATCCAGAGTAAGAGAGTGTCGAGCTCGATAAAGAAAAGCAACTTTAGCAGATGCAAATTTTGATATAACAGATTTGATATAAGGTTTCCAAGAAAGATCAGAAGTAAGAGTTAATCCTAGAAGACAAAGGGTAGACGACTAATCCAGTACATTACCATTCATAAATACAGGAAGGTCTAAATTATTGTGATAACGATTGGCTGAAAAAAATTGAGTTTTATCTGAATTAAAGTTCACCAGCCAATGTGAGCCCCATGCTGTAGCAGAAGTAAGATCCATTTCAAGCTCAAATGCCCCCTGCAAGGACTCAGAGGGAGTTGGCTTCTTATCGTGACAAGAATAAATGGTAGTATCATCAGCGAATCAATCTGTTTGACGGTTATATCAAGTAGAACACAACTAGTGAAATCAAGAGATGATATTGAGGAAAAATTCTTGGCAAACAATTCAGCTTTGTCTTTAGGTGAGGTGACAAAGTCTGAACCATACAAAAGAGGTGGAATTACAGACTTGCCCGTATTATTGATACTATTAAAGATTCTCCAGAAGTCACGAGAGCCTAATTTTTGAGATGAAATACAAGATTTCATGATCTGAGAATAGCGGGCTTTGACGTTAGACAAAACCTTTTTACAATCATGTCCTACCACGTCCCTGGTAGTCCCCACTCAACTTGTTTCTCCGCACAGCGGCCTTGTTTGTCAAGGTTTGTGTTTTAGAGTTATAGAATTGAGAGAGGGTTATAACCACCAAGTAGCCTCCTCATCTGACCTTCTTAGCCTTGGGGAGGTAAATTACAAAAAAAAAAAAAAAAAAAGAGCATAATTTTGCATACAAAAAAAGTGATTAACTCAAATAATTCATTTTTGCACGTGTTTTGAACTTCATAAAACATTTGAGATAAAGCTTTAATCTTTCGGAATTATGAGATAACACTGCTAATAGATCTGAATATTGTGGCAAAACCTTTTCTGCCTAATATTTTTGAGTGATACTAGATAAGTTAAGAGTAGTGTTGTTATGACTACTAAACAATTCAACTGTCAACTGAATCAACTATATATTTATATATAGTTGATTTCGTTAAATTATATTTATATACTTATATATTTATATATATTATATATATAAAATATACAATATATATTCAAAAATGTTAACAAAAACGATTTACTAACAATTTACCAAAGATTTCAAGATACAGACCCAAAGATTTTAATATACAGACTACCCAAAAGACTCATCATAATTTGTACAAGAAAAAAATTAAATTTAAATTTCTGAATAAACAAACTTATACCTTGGATTTCTCTTTAAACAGTGTGCAACTAGTGACTTTAACTCTAAGGAATATTCATTTGGAAGTGGAGAATAAGAACCTCTAAAATAAAAAGATTCATTTTATATTTTCATTTTTAACAATAAGAAAATCTAATACTATTAAAAAAAAATTATTATTATTCATAATATCTCTTTTCAATATTTGTTAAGATATAGATATTCAATTCTAAAATACTATTTTTAAATAACAGGTTCCAGTGTTTGTACTGGCAATTGGAGGTAGTTTTGTCATTCCTTAATAATAGCCAGCATATTAGGCTATTATGAGGAATTGGATGCCAAAATCAGCATATTAATATACTCAAAATAAATAATTTAGAGACACAATATAATATCATCTAGATAAGTAATTGACCAGTCTATATCATTATTAACATAATGTTTAGTAACATTTTTAAACAATGTATATATGTATATATATATATATATATATATATATATATATATATATATATATATATATATATATATATATATATATATATATATATATATCAATGAGCAACACGAACATTGTGGCATTAAAGAATCATGTAAAAAATAAGACTAATGAAAAGCTGGCTCAAAAACAGAAAAGAAATTAGGAACTTTTTTGTTAAGAAATCTAAAGATGCCACAGAATCTATTGAAACATGCAAAAATACTCAATTTTGGTATGCTATATCATTTATCAGCGACTCCATTTATTTATAACAATGCAGATAAACTTAATGCAGAGATTCAAAGCATACTACAAAGCATGTTGTTTATGGATAAAGTGATAACTCTGTTACCAATACTGTCAAGGCAATGTTTCCAGACAGCAAGATTGTATCTATGATACAATTATGTATCTATGATACAACCTGCAAGAACAAATTATCTGTAACATTAAACATGTTAATGTTATAACATTATTGAACATTGTAAACAATGTTATAACACTTTTAATATAATGTTCAGTAATGTTATAACATTATTGAACATTATGTTTACTAATGTTATAACATTACTGAACATTATGTTAAAAGTGCTCGAACATTGTGATTGTATTAATACAAATTGTATTAATACAAATACAAATTTATATTGCTAATTTTTTTAACAATACAATTTTGGTAAATTTCTTTTGCAGAGTATGCACTGATGTTCTTTTGCATACTGTGGAGTAACCTCATATGTAAAGAAGCTTTTTTATAAATGCTGTTAAAATGGTTGCTCATTGTAAGAGTTATATTAATAGTGGTACCAAGTTACTTGTAGCGCTTTGTAGCAGTTATCCTAATGTTATCAGAATGTTGTCATTAGTTCTTTTGAGCATTTCTTAAAATTTTGTGATGTGCCAAATATCATACTCTCTGTTTTGTTCTTAATTAAATTACTACTATTCACTATCTAGAAAGTATTTTGCAATACTGCGGTTTAATAATTCTTAAATGACATTAAATTTCTTATGTGAGAAATAAGTAACAATGCTATCTGCAATATTTATTACTTCAGTGTGTTTTGAGCATTTGACAAAACAATTAATTAAACTAAACAACAGGTTCTTGACATTTGGGAGAGCGCTAGTTTCCCGATTGCCCATCGGCATGATATAGTTAAATGAGTTCTGAAAATCAACAAGGAGTGGCAAAGGCTGAAGAACCATGCAAACATCAAACTGTTACTCACCTGCAAGTTATTTTATAGGTCAGGGCCTATTCTTTCAATAGCATCTTATTTGAGGCTATCAAAAATGGTCTAGAATAGCCCCCTGTAGGTGTTTGTGTTCAATTTGAACCTTTGGCGCTGTGTTCATTCACCCGTAACTTGCTTTATGAATGTTTGTGCTCTGTCTCTTTATGTTTATATGCATGTTTGTGCTCTGTCTGAACATCTGGTACAGTGTTTACTCACCTGTAAGTTACTTTATATATATATGTTCAAGCCTTCCATGGAAACGCATGCTGTTTTTCGTCTTGTATGACCACATGCAAGTATTTTATTTTAGACTTGGTCACACCCATATGCAAGTTTTATAATATTAATCATTGTGGAAAAAACTAAGTTTAAAAAACAAAAAAAAGCAAAACTAACAAAATAGAAAATAAAACAAAACTTAAATAGAAAAAAATAAAAAGAAATTAATGATTTAAATGATTTTTGCACTGTTTATATTTTTGTTTCTTTAGAGTGGTTGTTATTTTCAGCAACAAATTTAGATAAGGCAAAGCAAAAAAAAAAAAAAAAACTGTTTTAGGTCTACATTAAAAAGAATGATTTATTAAGATATAGATATTCAATTCTAAAATACTATTTTTAAATAACAGGTTCCAGTGTTTGTACTGGCAATTGGAGGTAGTTTTGTCAATTCATATTTTCATTGTCAAATGAAAATATGAATTGCAATGTGTTTGTAATATATATTTGTATAATGTAACAAGTATACATTGTCCCTTTATTAAAACGCCTATGTAATAAATGTATATACTTTCAAGTATAATTTTTTGTATTAATTATATTTGTATATATTATATTAATTATATTTATTTTCATATAAGTATATGCACATTTAGCTCATTTGGATAAGGCGTAAACTTCGTAAACGAATAGTCCATGTCTCAAGAAAAACTGCTTATTTAACTTTTTTGTTTTTTTGAGAGAACAACTCTAAAACTTAGTTTAATGGTTCTGAGGCTGGCTGGTAGAAAGGTTTCCTGAACTCTGTGGTAGCTCTTAGAGAGACTGATTCCATCAACAGCTATATATTAAAAATCAGAGTATTAACAGTTGCCGATGGATAGTGTCCCTGTTAATGCTTTTGGTGGGCATTGTGAAGGCCACATAAGGAGCCCTATGTTACAACTTAGGGTTAATTAACAGGACTTGAAAATTGCATAGCTCATTGCTTAGGAGGCTGTGCTCTATCTATGAATGAGTCAAATTCTCTTTAAACTTGAATCATGCCAAAAGTAATCCAAAATATTAAACATAAAAAACCATGCCCACCAATGCTTGCCAACTTGATTAAAAATCTATATATTTATGTGTAATTGGCAGTACATTAGATTTTGGGATGTCTTGCGGGACCATATTATAAACATTTTAAGTTTATTATACACCTTGCTGTCTACTAAATATACTATATACTATAACATTATTGGATTTTGTTTTTTGAGAACCAAGTTGTTTTTTCTATAAACATTCATAAAATTAAATAAGCAACCCTTTTGCTCAGCTGTCAGCGATGTAAACAAGCATGGAATGAATGTTGGAAATTTACCTTTTTTTTAGATTTATAAAGGATGAAAATAGGTACGTAATTATAATTTCACTAAATTTATTAGGTTTAATATATTATTTAGATGCAAACTTTGGGTTTGTAATTGTTGCCGTCAAGACCTTGATAAAAAATTATGTGAAGAACTTAGTCTTAATTATACAGTACTACCTTGCCAATAAAAGAGCACTTGTAACTGCTGTACCAACAAGTTTTAACTTTCCAAATCAACCTACTACATTAAATTTAAAGAAAAAACAGCCAACAAACAGACTTCATTTACAGGATAAAATACAAAAAAAAATCAATGATAAAGTTGAAATGAAATAAAATGTTGAAAATAATAATAAAAATAATGTAACTGTCAAAATTACTTTTAAAAATAAGTAATAATTTATTAATTAATATTTATTTTCTCAATGTAGGATTAGTTGACTTATAATAAAAATCAAGAACCTAAAAATAAAGCATGAAATGTTAAAAAATTGTGATGGTTCAATAGAACATATTAATTTATCTAAAAAACTTTTAACAAACACCCAACTTTAATTTTTGAAGAAAATTATGTATGAATAATGGTGTTAAACAAGGAAAATGTTGGACTGTTAAAGATAAAACTTTAGCTTTGAGAATCATGTATCACAGTCCACAAGCTTTCAAAAGTTGTTTAGAAGAGTTTTTTCATTACCTGCCAAAAGCACTATTTTAATTTTTTTTGAAAGATCTTTTGGGACCCTAGAACCAGGTTTTTCCAATAAGGTTATGGCTTTACTAAAAATGCAAGTAGATACCATGAAAAAATTGGAACAAAACTGTAGCCTTGTTTTTTATGAAATGTCTTTAAAGCAACATCTTGATTATGACAAATACAATAACTAGATCATTGTTATTGTATTTGTCATCAACCTTATGGCAAACCAGTAAACCAAGTTCTTGTACTAATGGTCCAGGGGTTATCAATAAAATGAAAATAACGAATTGCTTATTTTTACAGTAATACTTCCATGTATTCAACTAATTTAGCTCAGATAGTAAATAATGCTATGACTCATTTACATAAAACTTGTGCAAAAACTTTTCACAAAACTTGTGTCTTGTTGCGATCAAAGCTCAAGTAATATTAGAGCTGAAAATGTTTTGTAAACTTTTTTTATTAAAAATATGGATACTTTATTTGATTTGAACTCTCGTAAACTAAAAGCAGATAAACCAACACGCTCTGCTTTAAAGGGATCCTAAAGTGCAAGTTGATAAGACGCATTAATTTTAAAGTGAATGATAAAAAAAAATGTTTGGGCAAAATTTTTTTAAGTAAAACAAAATAATAAATGTATACCAACAAAAACAAACTTTGTTGTTTTACTCGAAGCTCGTCTTCTCCACGTTAGCCAATCTCTGAAAGTCTTTAAAATATACACCGCAATCTACAGATTTTATAATTTATTCAAGCGCATTTAATTCCAAAGAGTTTTAGTAAATGATGTCATTGTAGAATTTCGATAAGAAATCTGAAAATTCTTTTTTTTATTAAATTATAGAAATTTTTTAAATTATTATTATAGATTACTAAAGAATTTTTTTAGTTACTTGTTTTATATAAAAGTTTTTTTTCATCATAAATTACTGTAGAATTTCTTTAGTTATTTTATTTTCTAAATTTCGCAAAGTTCACATTAAAAATATAAAGTTCACATTAAAAATATAAAGTTCACATTAAAAATATGAAATATAAATATTTCAGATATTTTAAGCTCGTCTATTGATAAAATTATTTTTTGTGTTATATTTATTGTTATTAAATGATTATTATCTTTACTAAGATTCTATTAAAAAAACTATTTAAATTAAAAAATCATGAGTAATCATGATTTTTGAAAAAAACTGATTTGAAAAAACTTCTTTAGTTAAATAAAGCAGCGTTAACACTGTAAAATTTAATTCATAGAAGTGTTTAAGTATTTAGCTAAATAATTAGTCTTTTGTACGTCTCAAAAAATATTTTTTTTATACATTAAATGAATTTTTTTTTTTTTAATTTATAAAACAATCATTTAAAACACTTTGCATTTCTTACTGTTCAATGATGTGTTAAAAACTTATTTAAAAAGTTCATTCATTTAACTTTCTATTGATATATAGTTTGTTATGCTTTTAAAGAGATTTACTATTCGAATTTTAATTAGTTGTCAATGTTATGTCTTCCAAATTTTATTCAAAAAAATGTGCAACCACAGCATAAAGATTTTTTTTAAACGGCTGATAGCAAAAGAGTTGACTTTTTGAAAGTTTAATTAACAGCATTTATTTGCTAAACCTTTCATTGGGTACAAGTATTCTCAAAATTCTTATTTAATCATGCGAGAATGTATTTAATGAAGTTTTTTCTGTAAAACATGTATTGTTTATTTTATTTTATTTTTAAATTGAACAATTATTGGTTAAGATTGCAAAAAAGTGTACCATTATTGCGTAAATTTTAAAATTGAAATTGTTTAATAAAAAACTTTTTACTGTCAAATTTGGTAGTTTCTTGATTTGTAATTTTAAGAGACAAGTTAATATAAAATACTTGCAAAATACCACATAAATTGGGAAGTATTAAATACAATGTTTTTTAACGCGCGCTACGACATATTGACAATTTTAATCGCTATCTGTCTTGAATTATTGCCATAAAACATTAATTATTGCTTTAATTAATAAAAAGCTGTCTGTAAATTTGTAAAAGTGTAAAATCTACAAATATTTTCTAACTAAAAATTTAAGAATTCAGCAAATATCTCTAATAAATGATGCAGAAGCGTAGCGATGGGCCCGCAGAGGCTCGCAGCCGCGGGAGGGCCCAGGCTTATTAGGGGCCCAAGCCAAATTTTTCAAATATATTTAATCACATTTTTGCTATTATTGTATAGCTAAGAATTACAAATTCTTAGCTATACAATATGTAACATACTAAATTAAATCAAAATTGTATTTAAAAATAAGGCTTTTGTTTTCATGTATAATTTTTTTACATTTTAATTTGAGGGGGAGGGGGGAAGAGAAAAGTAATTTAAGGGGGCCGGATTAAAATTTTACAGGGAGGCCTATTTTTTGTCGCTACACCACTGAAATGATGTCATTTACCAAAACTCGTTATTAATTAAAGATTTAAGAATTTGTAAAATGTCATTTCGATAAGAGAACAAAAATATCATAGTGATAAACAGTTTAGAAAAAAAGTTCACATTGTCAACATTTTTTCTAATTGGTTTGGAGTTACCAACATTAATTGGTATGGAGTTACCAACATTAATTGGTATGGAGTTACAAACATTGATTAATATAGAGTTACCAACATTAATTGGTATGGAGTTACCAACATTATTTGGTATGGAGTTACCAACATTAATTGGTATGGAGTCACAAACACTGATTAGTATGGAGTTGCCAACATTAATTGGTATGGAGTTACCTACATTTCAACTTATTATCAAAATCCAAATGCAAATATAACAAAATTAACTTTATATCTATTTGCAGATTATCAACATTTATCAATTTGAACTAAATTGATAAAATTATTGATATTATTTTACCAATTAAAAATTAAAGAATTCGTCAAATAACTAGTAATAAAGGCTTGAATAAAAACAAAAAGTTTTTTTTTTCTTATTGAATGAGTAAAAAGATAAGTTTATAACATGGCTTAACAAGTTAGCAATTATTTAAATTATCTTTTGAAAAAAAAAAGGTTTTCAATAAATAATAACGCTATCTTGCTTGTATAGAACTTAAATGTAAAATAACTAAAAAGATGCATTATACTTTTTATAACTTGATATTGTAAACTTAATAAAGTAAATATGTAGTAAGTAAGGTAGATAGATAAGGAAGATAGGGTAAATAAGGTAGAAAAGATAAGGTAAGTAAACTAAATAGTTAAAATGTTAACAAATAAAATGATAACTAAACCCTACGGGCATTTGTTTTTCAAATTTACATTCTAAATGTCTTTTAAACGTTTATTAAACGTCTTTTAAATGTTCTTTACGTAAGAATGTTAAGAGGACGTTTAAAGACATTTAAAATACATTTAGAACGTAACTTTTAAAAATAAATACCCGCTGGGAACTGTTAAAATGTTGGCAACTAAAAAAAACCTGAGTGTACATTGTGTTATGAAGATAATACCTAGATTGTGTTATGAAGGATACCCAGAGTTGAACAATTGTAGTATAAGGAATAACTAATAATAATATTAACTTATTCAATAGCAGAAAACTTATGAACATAGAATTGTAGAAGAGTTATTTATCGTATTGTAGTAAACAGACAATCAATCAATTATATTTTATTGGAAATAAAATATAATTGACTGACAGTAGTTGATCATTACACTTACCAGGAGGTGTATGTGAGTGGTTATTATCAATAGTAATTAATGATCATCCCTCAATTGAAAAAAAGAAACACTACCATCTGCAACAATTGAATACATTGAATTTCCATTTTACTTTCGGAAAATAAAAAAAAAATCAAAACCTCAGCGGTATATTTTTATTACCTTATAATCTTCATCACCAAAATCTTCATGTTTATAGCTTCAAACTAAATATTTAAAAACTTTCAAAATTAGCAAAAATTACCAACTGAATGAAAGAAAAATCTTCAGTTTGAACAATTTTGAATAAAAAAAACACTTGCAATTAATAATCTAAAATAAAAATAAAAGTCAACGAGATATGAGAAAGATTTTTGAGCACAATTTTGTGATTTTCCTAATTAAAATTTTAGATGTGACAATTAACTAAATTTTAATTAAGTAAAAATAATTTGAATTTATTATTGCAAACCATATAAGATAATCCAATCCTTCCCGGGTGTAGGTGTATTTAAAGAAAATCTCAGCCATTTTTTGGAATACACCTCTTGTAGGTTTTATGGAAAAAATAATTTCCCAAAAATTTCGATTTTTCTCGTGTGTTTTACACATTGTGTGAATACAATTTTGCTTGTGTGTTTTTAAAAACTTAATAAAACTTTTCAAAAAATCAATGCATGCATATCTTTTAAATTTTGCTAACATAGTTTGTAAAATTAAAAAAACACAATGAAATGTAATTTTAGTAGTAATATTAGGTAAGTATTTTTTAGTAGTAAAGTTATGTAATTATTTTTTAGTAGTAAAGTTATGTAAGTATTTTTTAGTATTAATGTTATGTAAGTACTTTTTAGTAGTAAAGTTAGGTAAGTATTTTTTAGTAGTAAAGTTATGAAAGTATTTTTTAATAGTAAAGTTATGTAAGTATTTTTTAGTACTAAAGTTATGTAAGTATTTTTTAGTAGTAAAGTTATGTAAGTATTTTTCACAATTCATTTTTGGACCTTGTCTAGAAGAGCATATATTTTTAGATGAACCAGCCCAAATATGACAAAAGTATTCAATACAGGGACAAACAAGAGATTAATTGAGGTAAAGAATGGTATCAGGAGAGAGAAAATGGTGAGCACGATAAAGAGAAGCAACCTTAGCAGATGCTAAATTAGTGATTAATAAAAAAACATAACAACTTGAAAATGTTATAGGGGAATGTAGCTTGTATAATGCTTTATTTTTATAAGTGACTAAAATTCTTTGCTAAATCTGTAAACCCTAATGAACAGAATAAATAACCTGTAAAAAAAGACGAAGGATTTTAGCAAAACAATTTACTGTTGCTTTGGTGTTTGAAATAAATTAACCTAAAATTAGTAAAAAGCTGGAATAGCCGAAGAAACTTTAAGAACCTTACAAATGTTTTTAAAAAAATATTAAATCCCAACCTTTACAAATGTTTTTTAAAAAACATTAAATCCCAACTTTTACAGATGTTTTTTAAAAATATTAAATATAGCGTAACAAATGTTAGACTTCTAATGATTCTTTTTCAGGAAGAAAAGTCCAAAAAAGATTTTTAGGATCGGAGTCATTAAATAGTTTTGTTTAGAACCTTGGAGCAGAAAAAATGTTTATGAACTTTTGAACTCCATAGGAAAAAAAATTCTGAGAACACTAGAAGCTATCATTTTTTAACTTGAGCCCTAATGTATTACTGTAATCATAGATTTATGAAACTAAGTTGGATAGTAAAGATTTGTAAAGTAGGTACAAATGCACTAGAATGTGTTTCAAATCAAGGAATAAAATTGCTTAACCAAATTATAAAAATTAGGAATCAAATTGCTTAACCAAGTAATGAAAATATAGAAAATAATTATATTATTATAACATTATTTTCAAAATAGGAGTTGAAAAAAAACCACAAACAGAACCAAATGCTTAAAAAAAAAAGACAAAAATACAAATACCAAAAACAAAACTTACTGCATGCTTAAGAGTAACTAACTCATACAAGACGCATCCAAGGCTCCAGATGTCACTATAACAGATAATTATTTTTAAATAGAGCTTTAAATACAGAGTTTTCATAAAAATAAATATAAAGAGTTTTATTGTGAGTATAAATATACTTTACAAAACAACAATTATTACTTAACTCTTGTATAAATTATAGAACAGTAAAATTTAATTTTAATTAAAGTGTAAAAATAAATAATACAAATAATATAGAAATACCTTTTACTATTATATGGTCTGCCTTCAACTATTTCTGGGGACAAATAATAAGGTGTTCCTATACATGTATGAGCAAAATCCATAGAGCTATATAAATTAAAATAATGAGGTGTTCCTATACATGTATGAACAAATTCCATATAGCTATATAAATTAAAATAACTAGGTGTTCCTATACATGTATGAGCAAAATCCATAGTGCTATATAAATTATAAAATCTTTTTTAAAAAAAGTTTTTTTTAAAACTATAAAAAAAAAATTTGTCTATAAAATATTTTATAGACAAATTTCATCCAACTAAAAGTGAGCCATAAATAAGAATGTTAAAAAATTAATCTGTCTGAAAAATTAATCTGTCTGAAAACAAAACATCTGACTGGGATTCTCTTAAAGAAGAAATTAAAATTCTCTCTAAAAAATTTAGCAAAACGGAGGCAAAAAAGAGATGCCAAGAAGAATATAAACTTAAAACACAGCTAAAAAACTCCTTTAAAAAGCGCCTTTTAATACCAAGATGAACTACCTCAGCAAGATCCTAAAAATAAAACTTCAAACATTCGAGATAAACAAATTAAACAGTGCAAAAATTAGGGCTAAAATAAAATAAAGGACGCATGGTGAAAAATGCAGCAATTTCTTTTTTCAACTTCAAAAAGAAAAAATATCTAAATTAGTAATCATTAACATCAAAGATAAGGACGGAAACAAAAAAATAACACAGCTGATATCACTAAAAACATTTTACAAAAACTTTAATAAAAATTGCAAATATCACGCTGCAAAAACCTTTACTCGAAAATACAGACGTAAAACAAATTTCCGAACAACAAAAGCAGTCCCTAGATATACCAATTGATTTAGCGGAGGTAAAAAATGCTATAAAAACAATGAAAAACAACAAATCACCCGGCAAAGATAGGCTATCCGCTGAATTTTATAAATATAACATTAACATTTTGGGAGAAAATCTAGTTCAAGTTCTAAATGACATAATAAAGAAAAACGAAATGCGAGAAACCCAAAAAAAACCTATAATAACTTGCCTTTATAAAATAGGGGATAAAGCTGATATCTCAAACTGACGACCCATATCATTTCTCAACACTGACTACAAAATTCTTACCAAAATAATCTCAAACCGACTAACAAATATACTACTATCAATCATCAAAGAAGATCAAACCGCATGCATTCCCCACAGGTCCATTTACAAAAACCTAGCAAAGGGAGGGAAACAATTTTAAAAAACCTAATGAAAAATCAAAATAAATACCAAAAACAAAAAAATTTTAAGAACTAAAAATTACCTTTTAAGAATTCGAGCAATACCAAAGTCCCCAAGTTTTACTATACCATTCATAGTTAAAAAAATGTTCTAAACGAAATGCAATAAAACAATCTGACTTATTGTTTAATTTTATCTGAGTTATTGTTTAATTTTTACCCCAGTAGATAAAAAAGTAAAACATTTTGATAAATTAGAAATTAACCAAAAAAGTGTGATATAGTTATCCTTTCTATTTATAGAAAAAATCACTATTAAAAATGCGTAAAACCTGTACCAAATTTTTATGATCATAACAATTTATTAGCTATTTAAAAAAAAAATTGTTTTAAAGTTCTATTACAAATATTTCCAAATAGTTTAATAAAGAATAATAACAATTAAAAATAATTTTATATGGTAAATAACAAACAGCTACAGCATGATAATTGCAGAAATCCTCCAATCTTTGTAATAAAAAAGAGAAATCTATCAAACAAGTATTTGAATTTATGCAATTGCTTTTATGAAGAAAAGAGTCAGATTAATATTCTGTGTATATATGCAACATACATAGCTTTAAAGTATGGATTTTAAAAAGGTAACAGTAATAATGAGTTCAGCAAAAAAACCTAACAAATTCAACAGTATAAAAATTCAATGATTAAAGTGCTGGTTACAGAATGATGCTTAAAAAACAATTTTTTAGTAAATTTCTGGGAAACCTCTTACATTATGTTCTTATTGATGTACTAATGTAGTGTGAAAGAAATCTATAGAATATTCCATAATATATTAGTGCCACATGGCCTTAAAATATTCAATTGATCTCTAATGAAAAAAAAAAGTTTTTTAAATGTATGTCATGTTAAGTCTTAGATGAAGCAAAATTATTATATTCATTTTCATCACTTGAAAATTAATATAATAGAAATTCTTATTTCTGAATGATCACTTCCCAACTCTAAAAAACTTTCATCACTTCACAATTTTTTTTTTTTTTTTAATTTACCTCGCCAAGGCCAAGAAGGCCACTACAGAAACACAAACCTTGAAGAACAAGGCCGCTGCACAGAGAAACAAGTTTGGCAGGTTTGGCAGAAAAAAGTTTGACAAAGTTTTTCTCCACTTCCTGCCAAACTTTTGTCTAAAGTTTGGCAAGAAGTGGAGAAAAACATTTTAATTGGGATGATGGTCATAACGTAACATCAAAGATTTGACCATATTTTATAAGTGAATTGACATCAGCATTTGAAAAACTTTTTTATTTTATTATGCTCTTTTTCATGTTACTTTTTTAATGATATGTTTTTATTATAACAATTTTCTTTGTAACGATTTTTATTTATTATACCTGATGATGCTGAACACAATAGATCAGCGAAATATTGAATAATATATATTGAAATAAATATATATATGGGCAATTTTACAGCTGAAAATGAAAAAGTAGTCAAATTTTATTCTTTTTTTTTCAACTTTTAGCAAATGAATATTGATTTAGACAGATAAAAGTTTATTTTAAATATACCTTTAGTACTAAAATTAATTCAATTTTATTCTTCCGAAAGTTTTACTCATGTTTGTATCATAAAAATAAGTATCATTATAAAATGTTATTTTAACTATGAATTTATTTACAACTAATTTAGTGTAAAAATAACTAACATGTTCAATTTGTTGTTGGTCAGATTTTATTCTTAAAAAAATATTTATATTTCAAGAAAATAAAGAAAAAACTTTTGCAATTTTTTATGTAATGTAAGTTAGCAAAAACATGATAAAGTTTTATTTTTTCTAAAATTTAGTTAAAAAACTTAAATTTTTTAATAATATATGTGAAAAAAAAATAAATGCTACATTTTTACATTTAAAGTTTTGAATAACGCTTAGTTTAAGCACATAAGTTAAAACACTTAACGATGCTTAATTATATTTTCTTATTATAATAGAATGCAGGGATTTTAAGAATTGTTAAGATAATTATTAAAATGACTGCATTTTTTATTTTAGTTAAATAATAAGCACTAAGTTAAAACCACATGCATTTACTGGCACTTTTTCGTAAAGTTTTTGTTTCATACAAAATGAACAATTACGTTTTTACGTAATTCTGCGTAATCAAAGTTAAGTGGCATTTTCAGTAATAAATTCTTTTGGCTAGACTTAAAACTCTTTAGCTCATTTTTTTCTTCAGACAGCTGTCATACAAAATAGCTGAAATATTTTATTTACAATTTAAATAGACAAATATTTAATAAAGTTGTTGCACGTTTATTTAAGTTAAAAATGGAATTGCCCATAAATATTTCCAAAAAAAGTTTATACACAGTCATATTTATTGAATTCTATATATATTTTATCATATAACAAGAGAATGATTTTCGAAGTATATAAAATAGAATACATATATTCATATATATATATATATATATATATATATATATATATATATATATATATATATATATAAACACAAAACAGAAAAAACACAAAAAACAAACAGTTCTATTTGTGTTAATAAGTATATTTCACGGACAGGAGGTAATCCACTGTTATTCAGGGTGGTAACCCTCCTATCAATCCATATTGTGCTCTGAATCAACTGTCAGAAGTACTTGATCAACCATCAAGTGTAATAAAATGGTCACTCAAGCAGATTTCAAACACCTTATTGATAGGATTGCATCTCTTGAATTGAGACAAAGAAAATAAAATAAAGCTCAAATCCAATGAAGAAAAAATTAGAAGAAAATGATTTAAAATGGAAAACTGCTATTGAAATAAAGGATAAAGAAATAGAAGACCTTAATAATAGGTTAAAACATATAGTAGTAATACAAAATAACAGCACGCCAAGTAGCACCGAATGGTCAGACATGGTAAGAGGAAAATTAAAAAAAACTGTTGAGCAAAAAGTTCTAATAAATGTTGCAGCAAAAGAACTAACCGATAGAAGTAAAAAAGAAAAAAATTTGGTATTTTTTGGCATACAAAAATCAAATGCTGCAGAAGCACTTGATGCAAAAGAAGATGATAAAATTTTAATAGAAATTATGCTGAATAAAATTAATGTGAATATATTGAAGCAACAACGTCTAAAAATGAGAGACACCAGTAAAATACCGCCAGTATTCGTAGAATTAGAAAGTGTCGAACAGCGTAATGAAGTACTTAAGTTGGTCAAGCATAATGAAGTACTTAAGTTGGTCAAGCGGCAAAAAGGTTAAAAGGACTTAAAGAATATGAAAAAAATTCAATTAATAAAGACTTGACTGAATCAGAAAGGCTTGTGCGAAAACATTTAGTAGAAGAACGTAAGCGTTTAAATACTAACAACAATGATACAAATTATTATTTTGGAATCAGAGGTGACAGTGTGAAAAAAATTCCTAAGAAAGCTCAAGCATAGCCATCAACTTATTTATTAACTAATGATATTGCAAATGCATATGAGCAAATTAATTTAATAAATAATAATAAAAATAATATTGTATCCAATGTTTCATTCAACTTCATGTTACTATACAAACACTACATCACTAAACAACAAAATGTCAGAATTTATAACCGATATAACTGTATGCAAGCACCATTAAATTTTTATAACAGAAACCTGGTGGGTAGACACCTCTATACCAAATATTGAAAACTATACGCTCTACCGTAAAGACCGTATTACATGCAGAGGAGATGGTGTAGCCAAATATGTACAAAACTCAATTTAATCCTTCAAAATCTTGGATGAAAAGTTATCTAACAATAATGAACAAGTATGGTGTGAAATCAAATTAGACAATGAACGATGTTTATTAGGCTGCATTTATAGGCCTCAAGTGGTTGATTCCATAAATACAGTTACTCAATCTATCACATATGCAAAACATTTAATAACAACAAAGTATGACGAATTATTAGTGTGTGGTGATTTCAATTTACCCTCTATAAAATGGAATAACAATGGTGTAAAGTCAGTTAAAGACACAAATACTAATTCGTTAGCAAATCAATTCATCGACTGTTTATCTGATACATATTTAACTCAATTTGTAACAGATCCTATTTTTCAAGCTGATGAAATTACGTCAAATAGTACACTGGACCTTATAACAGCCGAATGCAATGAAAGAATTGAAGAAATCATTCATTTACCGCCTCTAGCAAACTTAAAAAAAGGACATCATGTCTTGACATTTCATTTCAAAACAAAATCAATGCCACAATCAAAGTTAATTTGCAAAAAAATGTTTCATAGTACAAATTATGAATTAATGTCCGATTTTTTCACTAACTGTGATTGGAAAACTAATTTTGAAAAGCGAAATGATGTCTTGCTAAAATATTACAATATTGCGTGTGATAAATACATCAAAATCAAATATGCAAAAACGAATTATAAGTCAAGCAACTGGATATCTCTGCCACTGAAAATAAAAATAAAGTCAAAAAACAAACTTTGGTTCAAATGTTTGGCCTGTGAGTAAAATAACATACAAAAGGTTACTCAAAAAAACAGTAAAAGAGTATGAATTAAAGTTAGCCAATAATGCTAAACATAACCAAAAGTTTTTGTATTCATATGTGAAGCAGAAGAAAAAAATCAAGTCGAGTATAAATTCCTTAAAAGATAAAAGCGATTGTACGATCACAGATCCAAAAGACATAGCAAATACTTTAAATGACCATTTTCAAGATGTATTCATAAAAAACGATGTTACCGAAGTACCAAAATTCGAAAAGCATACAAGCAATATATGTGGCACAACGTTATTTGATTTTAATTTGGTTTACAATATATTAGTGAAGTTGGATCCAAATAAATCTGTTGGCCCAGACGGAGTAAGTCCATTTGTACTAAAAAATTGTGCTTTTGTTCTAGCAACACCGTTAAGTTATATATTCACACTTTCGATGCAATCAGGTATTTGTCCACATGATTGGAAATCTGCACACGTAACACCTTTATATAAAAAAGGTAGCAAACTAATTGGAAGCAATTATCGTCCCATTTTTTTGACGTCAGTTGTTAGTAAAGTTATGGAAAAAATTGTCAAAGACAGTATGGTCCAACACTTAGTACAAAATCACCTAATTTCAACTAATCAACATGGTTTTGTGCACAACAAATCATGCACAACTAATTTAATTGAAACAATGGACTTTATTACCTATTCATTATCTATAGGAAATGCGGTTGATGTAGTATTCATGGATTTTGCCAAAGCCTTCTATGTTGTTCCGCATAGATATTTAATTCACAAGTTGTCAACTTATGGAATTATAGGTCACACTTTAAAGTGGCTTGAATCTTTTTTAAAAAATCGTCGACAAAAAGTGGTAATGGCAGAATTTTCATCAGAATGGAAAGAGGTTCGAGTGGTGTACCGCAAAGATCCGTTCTAGGTCCTATTTTATTTATAATATATATTACTGATATGCCAGAACTATTAAAAAGTGTAAATAAATTGTATGCTGACGATACTAAACTATTAGCAAAAATAAATAATATCAATGATATAAATGTATTACAAAATGACATAAAATCGCAAAATGGTCCCAAACATGGCTTCTTTACTTGAATGAGTCAAAATGCAAAGTAATGCATCTCAGCAAATCAAACAAACATCATAACTATACAATTCCATCAATAGCAAATGAAATAACTAGCATATGCAGTACAAACGATGAAAAGGATTTAGGTGTTATTTTATCTAGTAAGACGAAATATCATAGTCAAGTTTTGTATGCATCAAATAAAGCAAATAAAATACTTGGAATGTTAAGCAGGACTTTCACCTATATGGATAGCAAACTTCTCAAAACATTGTTTACAGCGTTTGTGAGACCTCATTTGGAATTCGCAATACCGGTGTGGAACCCTTACCAAAATAATGACATAATTCTAGTCGAACAAGTACAAGACCGAGCAACTCATTTGATTCCATCACTCAGAAAATTGAATTACAAAAAAAGATTAAAAATTATGGGTATTCAATCTCTTGTTGACCGTAGATTTTGAGGTGACCTAATACAATGTTTTAAAATAATAAATGGCTTTGATATTGTATTGGTGTAACGTAAATTCGCTCTCTTATCCAAGAAATTTTAATCAAAGTCAAACGCCAGGTCATAACTTTAAACTAGTTAGAGAGATAGTTAAAAATAATGAACAGCGTCATCAGTTTTTTTACAAATCGTGTGGTGAACACTTGGAATAAATTGCCTAAAAACATAATCAGTGCCACAAATGTAAATAGTTTCAAAGCAAGATTGGATAAATTTTTCAAATCAGAAAACCTTGAAGATGATTAACGATGAAATTGACTTTATTCCCATTTAATTAACTTATTTTAAAATAATTTGTAAATTTTTATGTAGGCCGCTAAAACCAGAATTGGTTACACAAGCTATAGCTTGTTGTAGTACAATAAATAATAATAATAAAAATAAATAAATATATATATATATATATATATATATATATATATATATATATATTTATATATATATATATATATATATATATATATATATATATAAATATTAGTGTACCTGTGTTTTAATATCTCTATGAAGAATTTTTCTATCATGTATGTATTTTACAGCCAAACAGCACTGTACAAACAGATCTAAAATCTATACACAAATAAAACAAGACATATACAACTTGAATATAATTTTCAATATTATGGTGATAAATCTTTTCAAGATTTGAATTTTTAAAAAAGAAAAACAAAAAAAAAAATGTTTTTTGTTAGTTTTTCCATTTTAAAATGATTTGTATTATATATATAAATTTATATATATATATATATATATATATATATATATATATATATATATATATATATATATATATATATATATATATATATATATATATATATATATATATATAGAAATAAATATATATATATAGAAATAAATATATATATTTATATATATATATATATTTATATATATATAAATTTATATTTATATATATATATAAATTTATATTTATATATATATAAATTTATATTTATATATATATAAATTTATATTTATATATATATATAAATTTATATTTATATATATATATATAAATTTATATTTATATATATATATAAATTTATATTTATATATAAATTTATATTTATATATATATAAATTTATATTTATATATATATAAATTTATATTTATATAAATTTATATTTATATATAAATTTATATATAAATTTATATATATATATATATATATATATATATATATATATATATATATATATATATATATATATATATATATATATATATATATATATATATATATATATACATATATATATATATGTAAAAAAAAAAAAAATTACTGCTTATGCTATATGGCTTAGCGCCATTTCGAACATTGCATTAGAAATAAATTTGTAAAAATTTCAATAAAAGTCACAATATTTTTTATTGTTGACATGTTTCATAGTGTTACTACATTTTCAAAAGATTTAATTTACAATTAAAACTCTGGTAAATAAATTTAAAAACTGAAGACAATACAGAGAAAAAATTAACGAACAAATAAACTTGTTTCGAACCAAATAAAAATTAGATTACAAATTATGATAAAATAAACTTCCTAATATTAAAATATTTATAATAATAATAATATAGTAAGTTAGATAGATAAATTTATAATATAATGAGATATTTGTTTATTTAAAGAAGGATTTTCCCATTTAATATGAAGTGCTTCTTTTATTTTTAATTTGTTATTGGTAGAGGTAGTATCCAAAATCTGAAAGCAATCATAATTAGTTAGTGTTTTACAATTAATGGATGAATTTAAATGTTTAAAAATATGCGATTGCTTGTCACTCATAAGGTGCTCATTTATCCTTGTTGTCAAATGTCTGGAGGTTTCTCCAATATAACTGGCGTTACAGCCAGCACAAGAAAATTTGTAGACAACGTTAGATTTAAGCATCTTCGGAAGTGGATCTTTTATGCAAAAACTGTTTTTTAATTTATCGATTGTGAATATAAATTTGATTATTACATTTTTACAATATTTTTTAATATTTATATCAATTTTAGTTTTAGTGAAATTTGAGTAAAATCCAATAAATGAAAGCTTAAAATATCTTATATAAGTATTATCAACAGTATTTATAACAGGTGGATTAATTTTCTTTTCAACATATAATTTAATTTTAGAGTCGATAACTTTTTGCGGAAATTGATTATTTTTTAAAACTAAAGAAATTTTATATCCTTATCATCCTTATATTTTACCCTTATATTTATATATTACATCCTTATATTTATTTATATCCTTATCATCCATATATTTATTATCTTTATTTTCTTTAAATAAACAAACATCTCATTATATTATAAATTTATCTATCTAACTTATTATATTATTATTATTATTAATATTTTAATATTAGGAAGTTTATTTTGTCATAATTTGTAATATAATTATTAATTGCTTTGTAAAAAGTTTATTTGTCCGTTTTTTTTTTGTTAATTTTACCAGAGTTTTAATTGTAAATTAAATTTTTTGAAAATGTAGTGAGACTACGAAACATGTCAAGAATAAAAAATATTGTGATTTTTATTAAAATATATATATATATTGTATATTTATTAAATATATTGTATAATTAAATATATTTTACAATTATTAAATATATTATACAGGCCTTGGCAGGTTTACGGGAGCAATTTACGGTTCTTGCAAAAGTACAATTTTTTCTCTCAAAAGTTTAAACATCTTTGTACTTTTCATTTTGTCTCTAAAATGAAAAGCACAAAGTCATTTTTGTAAAAAAAAAAGAAAAATTATTTGCATAATATATTGCAATGCTTTTTAAAAGACGCAGTTGTTGCACACAAAAAAAAAAAATTAAAAAAGAGTGATGATTTAAATGCAAATGTTTTTGATTAGATTATACTATTTGATAAATAAAAAATTATTACACTAAATTATATTAATAAAATATAAAACTATTTAAGTGATAAAAAATAAAATTAATACACTTTAAATTACTGCATAATAGTTTTTTGATTTTATGCAATGAATTACATACTTTATACATTTATTACTTTAGTTTATTAATTAATTTAATACATTAATTATTTTTATTTTATTATAATTTTTAATTGTTGTGTTAATTCTTAAAATGCCTGCATTCTATTACAATAAGAAAAAATCTTTTTACTTAACAAAAAAAGAAAAAGGAAAGAAAAAAAAATAGTTAAAAAAAAAGAGATAAGTTGATAAGTTAATAAGGAGATAAGAAGAAAAGATCAGTTTATTAGAAGAGTAGATAATTTTATAGTTTTTATTTGTATCTTATTTTAAATATTAAACTTTTTTTTTTTATTTATTTTACTACAATTTATTATTAGATCACTTATTTTGATACATTATATTAAATATTTGTTTTTATTATTGTTATTATATATTTTATTTATATTTCTCTTAACTTTGATTAGTTACTCTTTAGTTTGATTAGCTTACTCTTTTAGTTTGATTTTATAACTTTCTTCAATATTTTTGTGTTTGTTATAGTTTACTTTTTGTTTGACTGTTGTGTTATTGTTCAACTACCATTAATATTATTATTTATAATAATTGTTAGTTTTTCAATGTTTTAATTGGTTGTTGTATCTTTGTTTAGACTTGTCATGTTTAGTTTTTCTGCATCTTGTGTTTCTTTGATTAATATTGTCATGCATTTTTGTGCATTCATTATAGTCTTGTGCGATGTTTATATTCTCATTTATTTTCATTATACTCACATATATGTCATTATAATGTCATATTCTTGTGTGTAAAAGTTTAGTTTTTATTAATATTATAAATTATTTTTTTACAATAGATGTTTGTATTGTGTGGTAGGCTGTTACATTTTGTCAGCATATACTGTTTGTACCTTCCCCCGTCTGTACTTATATATTAAATTATTGTTTGAAAATTAATATTGACTTTTTAATATTATATTATTACTTTATTATTATAATAATTGTCCCTTAGTTTATTAATTATTATTACTATAACTATTGTTAAAAATTGTTAATATTAATATTTATTGTTAATACTAATAACTATTTTTGCTATAACTATTGTTAAAAATTGTTAATATTAATATTTATTGTTAATACTAATAATTATTATTGCTATAATTATTGTTATTATTATTATTATTATTATTATTATTATTATTATTATTATTATTGCTATCATTATTATATGATTTTATGTAAATTTTAAAAAAGAAAATAAACATCTTGTTGTTGTTGTTGTTGTTGTTGTCAAACTTCTTATCAAATAAGTAATGTTGTTAATAAATATATGGATAGCTAGTGTGAAAACCTAAAAGAAACACTTGTTTAAAGAATTTTTTCATGGCGCAATAAATAAAGCTTGTTATGTGTATACTCTTGTAACATTAACATTACAAAAATATGTTTGTAACAAGTATAAAACCAAATTTTGTATTTAATAAGCAACTTTAATAATAATTAGATTGCTCGTGCAAAAACCAAAAGCTCTCGTAAGAGGCTGTTTAGAGGAGCAGCTTGCATGGCTCGCAATGTTCATTTTAGAGAGCTTTTCTCCACTATACTCCTGTTGAGGCCTCATATGTATAAAAAGAAATTTTAATGTACTTGAGGTCTCATTTCAAACTTGAGGTTGCCGCCCTAAATACATTAACATTTTGGAAAAAACTAATTTTCTTTTGAGAAATAATGGAAAGTTTTAAGATTTGGGACAGATGTGTGTATACATATATGTATGTATGCATTAGGGTGTGCCAAAAACATACTTTTTTTAAAATTTTAATGTGCTCTCCACTGATCCCCATTCTATAGGTCCTAAATAGTTACCAAAACCTTTTTTTTATTTTTTATTGACTAGAATTGATAAATGTAAATTCTGAGTTTTACGGTATTGTACACATGTGTATTTACATAAAAACAGTGCTATCTAGTATTTCAATAGGTTTTAATATGATGTAATAATTGGTACACAAATAATTCCCATAGGACATTATTAAAGAATAGAATCATTCCCGATGAACAATGTTAGCGATTTATATAATTCCCTCTGGACAATATTATCAGTTGGTATAATTCCTCATGCATTGGTTCCCAAATAACTCCATTTAGAAATTTATTTTGAAGGAAAAAATTTCTAAATGGAACTATTTGTGCATGAAGGAATTCTAATTTGTGCACAAAGAAATTCTTGTGTAAATGATTATAAAAGCTATAACGGTAAACTTAGATAAAATATGATACAAGAGGGAATAACAACTTCATAGATTTTTAATGCAAGTGTAAAATTTAGTATAAACTTAGATTAAAAACTGATTATTTAGAAATTCATACAAAAATGGGTAGAACAGCTAAAAAAAAAAAATGATAGGACAGTATAAGAAAAAACGGAAAAATACAGAAAGGTTGAGGTATATTTACCTATTGAAGTACCCACTGAGGGATTTACCTCAGAGACAGCTTTCATCTAATGGTGATATTCTTAGATACTATCAATTTATCCTTCGCAAGTCACAAATAAAATACAAACCCGCTTCTACTAATGTTGGTTGCAAATTGAAATCGAAATCCAAGGATCTTGTTTGTGAAAATG